TTTGTACTTTTAGATATCAAAAACATCCACGCAGAGCCGAATGCAGCATCATGTTACACGCCCTTTTTGTGGTTTGTGACAAAAATACATCCAACAAGTCATCACAGTAAACATCTGAACTCTTTGTTGTCTCTAACCAAAGACAACAAAATCGGCCCAACATCAATTTTCTCATCTAGAGCCAATGAGAGTACTTTATAAAAAAATATCGACCTATTCCTTTGAAAATAAGCAAAAAAAAAAACCAAAAAATGTGAAATTGTCAATGTGATCCATGTTAAAAAAACAAAACTGACTTTTATTCTTTCTGTGATTGTTACAGTTGGATGTGAAGCTACAGGTGGAGTACATGTCCTTCAGTGCCCATGCAGATGCTAAAGGCATTATGCAGCTCATTCGGATGGCAGAGCCTCGCAACATGCTGCTGGTACACGGGGAGGCTGTGAAAATGGAGTTCCTCAAGGGCAAGATTGAACAGGAGTTCAGTAAGTGCATCTCCATCTGTTTTGTGCTCTACATATCAAAAGCGCTAGGTTCAATAAAAGTAAATTGGTACTGGTACGGTATGCTTACAGTAGGAAGAGAGGGAGTTTTCATTCTTGTTAATGTGTCTATTTTTAAATGGCAGGCATAGACTGTTACATGCCAGCCAATGGAGAGACAGCAACTGTGACAACAAACCCCAGTGTGCCTGTGGATATCTCACTCAACCTGCTCAAGAGGGAGATGGCTCTCGGAGGTAAGTTTTTATGATAGTTCAGAAACCAGAAACCACACGGTTTCAGTTCCACAATTGTTTTTGTTTGGCTTGACATTTTGATTCGTTGATTTGATTGATGTGATTGTGAAGCGGGTTTTACACAGCTGGTGATCCGGCCCCGTGTCACTTGAATATTATGACCCAGATTGGTTGTCACAATGACTAATGTCAGTTATGAAAGGACTCTAAACCCCAGAGAAGATGAGGAGTCACGTTTATCCAAACAGTACAACAAAGGTTTTCTATACTTACTCCAGACTAAAGTGGCTGCTGAGTATAAAGAAAACCGTCTGATGGTTGTAGTTGTTGAATTATTAGTGATGAAAAGCTGCCTCGCTTTCTTTGGAGCTATGAGTTGCACACCACATACAGCTGTTTTAGCAAGACTTCAAATTGTTGTTTATCATTTTCTGTAATTATTTGCTTGTTTATTTATATATTAAACCACTCTCATGTTGAAGGTCCTTTGCCTGATCCCAAAAAACCTCGCACCATGCATGGAACCCTGATCATGAAAGAAAACGTAAGTTCTGTTTTATCACAAACTTTTAACTAGATATCCGTCCAGTAAGTGTGTTGCTCCTTTTTTTTTTTTAAATACTTTTGTGACCTTTTAATAGATGACCTATAGTCTAGTGGGATTTCCTTGAGTTGTCATGAATGACACATGCTGATTTACCCTCTTGTCGTCTTTCTCCTGAGCACAGAGCCTGAAGCTGGTGTCGTCGGAGCAGGCCCTGAAGGAGCTGGGCCTCAACGAACACCAGTTACGCTTCACCTGCCGCGTGCAGCTCCAGGACCCGTACAGCGACGCCGACACACTCCACAGGATCTACACACACCTCAAAAGGTGAGAGTATAACCGCAGGGAGAGGAGGGGTCACTGGGCCTCCTGCATCTTACAACTCATCTGTAATATTCTGCATTTCACCTACACCATTCACTTTATCTACCTTCCTCCTGTAAACCACACCAGCATTTTCATGTTTGCACATCTACCCAGGAAATGTGTTGTTTTCTCTCAGGATTAGTGTCTTGTTTCCTCTCATTTCTTCAAGTATATTTGTGATATACTTGAACATATATAACATGTCATTTCTGTTGCCTGAGAACTGCAATTTTTGTGCTCTTCTCCTGTATTGTTTCATATCTACTGCATTTTGTGACATGTAATATTATATCTGTTATAACTGCTTGCTTTTGCATTTCTTTGCTGCAGCGTGTTAAAAGGTTACACTATCCAGCACCTCCCTGACAGCACCGTCATGGTGGAGTCTATTGTCATCAAAGTCTCCTCCTCCGCTGAGGACACCAACACCAAGGTCCTGCTGCTCTCCTGGAGTTATCAGGTAAAATGTTTGCATTGTCTTTGCTTCACTGAGTTCATTTTACTGTAGCTGTACTGTCTTTTAAATGCAAAACTGTTTAGAGTTCAGTTTAAGTCAGATCTTTACTTTCCCACAAGTGGAAAATATTTTCCTTCAAGGCAGCATAAAAACAAACACAATAAAAACAAAATATGACAGTTGAAGACATTAAAAACAATGATACTTTATATGCAAATCTGAATAAAATGTCTATCCACCCAATCTTGTGCACATTTTCAATTTGCACAAAAAATCTGTAATCCTAAAAAGGAAGTGGAAATGCTAGAACTAAAAATATCTCAAAGTTTTTTACACTTGAGGTGGAAAAGTTGGTGTATTGATTAAAATCAACATGCAAGAGTGCAGCAGAAAAAGACTCAGCAGATAAGTCATGAAGCATGTGACTTTATTTGTCACTCAAGCTTCGTCCACTGAAGAGACTAAAACTGGCAGCAGACAAAAACAGATTTGTGTGGGGGCTGTTTACCTTCCTCAAATTAAAATGTGAAACGGAAACAAACATGAAACAAGTGGCACTTATTGCACATCGGATAAATGAAAACTTGAACCTGTTGCACCTCATTTACAGAAGCCTCTCTCCAGAGGGGAGAATGTCAGATTCCTTAAAGAGGATGGTTTTGGATTTGCTATGATGGATTGAGCTGTCTGTGTGATTTGCCTGCACACACGACAATGATGGTGAAAACTGTCTCTGGGCTGTGGTCACACCTCCGTGAAGAACGTGAAATCTTTTACTTTATGTCTCCTACAGAGAGGGGGGAATTGATTTACCCAATTATTGGAAAACACTCCATAACAATATGATCACATCTCTCAAATATTATAGTTCTACTATATTTGAAATGAACAAATAGATGAATAAATAAGTTGTTAAATTATATATTACCTGGTGTAATTCAGTTGAAATAATGACTCTTAAGCAAGTGACATCCAGCCAAGGAGAGTTGATTGTGTTCAAAATGAAAGTTTTAGTTCACTCACACTGAGGACCCTTGAGTCCAACATTTGTTTCTAGAAACATCATGTGTACTTGTCAGTCAGTCACAAAAATCAATGTTTTCATTCTGTTTTTATACATTTTGGCTCAGATCATTTCCTAAATAATTAAAAAATACAGTTATTTTTAAATATACTTACACAAAGACGTTAACATTTATAAATATATGTATATTTATATAACACAATTTTACCTAAATTTAAAGTTGTTGATAGTGGTACAATTATTGACTGCATTCGTATTCTAAGGACCCTACACTGGGCCCCAAGTTAACAAGATAATAGAAAATATCACACAGCTGATTTGCACACACACATTCAACAATTTCCTGGTAATGTCCAGCCCAGGGATTTTTCCCATTTTGTACTATTAGACTTTGAAGGTGGACAGGTCTATGCTGGTAAGTTGCCAAACTTTATTTAAAGCTGCTTAAAAGAACCATCAGGAATCTAATGCATGCAACAAAACTCATGGAAGAGAATCAGAAATGATAAAGCAAAGTTTAATCTGATTTACCTTAACACATAAAATCACAAGAATCTCCGCTTTATAGCCAAATTGAGAATTTATGAATTCATTCTATTTGATTATTCATAATCTTCTTTATATATCTGCACCTTTAAATATAACATACAGCAGAGGTTACATCTTGACTACGACGAGTGCAGGGGCGATGGCTGAGGTTCAAAATAATTAGTATTTCCTGTTCTATCTGTTGTTAGTCACATCACGAGTGCTGTTTTTTCGGTCTGACCACACCATCAGTTAATCGGTTTGTTGCGCCGAGTCTGTACCGAGTAGAGGTCTGATTGGCTCGAAGAAGTGAAAAGACTGATGTGGGTGGATAGTGTGCGAGAGTAGGGTCTATGAAAGTGAGAATACGAAAGGTGGGGGAAACCTGCCTGTAGAACTCAGTCACTGTGTAATGGAAGGAGGGAGGTTTTTGTGGCCTTGTGCGTTCCATGCAAAGAATAAAGGGCAAGAAAAAAGAATACAATGTTTAAATCTGTGTCTTTGTCATATCTGTTTTAACTTATGTTCCCCCAAAAGGGTCTTATACATTTTTATTGCCCCTGAACATAAACCCAAGATTACACATATACCCCAGTTTTTGTTGGGAAGATTGCCTAAATCTGTTACGTTATCAGTTTTTGGCAATATAATCAGGTACTCGATAAGACCTTAAGTAACCATTTTAATGTTTTTTTTTTTTTTTTCTTGTGAAATACCAGAGAGTTTTACATCACTGACATTTGCAATGCATGACGAGGGTTTATATTAACGTGTTAAAGTGAATATATGCGTCTCTGTCTTTTCCTACAGTGCTTCTTTCTTGACTTTTATGTTCTGGTTTTCTTCATCAGGACGAAGACCTGGGGAGTTTCCTTTCAACTCTGCTGAAAAAGGGGCTTCCCTCTGGACTGTGCTGAAAATATCTTTTTGTCCCGACACAATAAACATTTGAAGGGAACTCACACTCAAAAGAATTTTCATGCACTGCCATTTTTTGAATCCTGGATTTCTGGAGGCTACAAACTCCTTCCTGGTGGGGGGAATTTCACATTCTTTACAGCAAACATCTACATCATCAAAGCTGATTTTGCTCCCTTTTCCTGTTGGGATTGTGATCCTTAAATGTGTACCTCCTACGAACTTACCCAGGATCCTGCCCTGATTGGTAGACTCTTTCATACTGTCATTTATAGACTAAACTACACAAGATAAAGAATAATAATATACCCGTATTCTGATTTGTCCCTTTATTTTGACATAAAATGACAGTTTTAATAAACATTTTTATAGAAAAGTCAAATTTTTGCAGTTTTTCGGTTACATACACAGTGACAAAGAGGAGTATACAGAGTTCTATTTACATAAGACATTAATAGTTACCCTCTCAGTTAACTTAGATCGTTGCAATGGTATAAACACCCCTACTCCTCCTGATTTGTCCACACAGCCATGTCCTCTTTAAGCCCTTCCATCTGCAGTGGCTGGTGGTGACGAAGTAAAGCAAAGGGTCCAGGCATGTGTTCAGGATGACGAGGGCCATGGTGACCCGTCTGGCGTGGTAGATGGCATCAGAGGCGGAGCAGCTCTTGATGATTTCCATGCGTCGAAGGAGGTGCAGCAGGTACACCAGGTGGTTGGGCAGGAAGCAGAGCAGCGTGATACCCAGGATGGTGTAAATGACCCTCACGGCTCTTTGGGCTGTTTTACTCTTTATCATGGAAATGCGCCTCGCAGCCAGTGGGTAACACACCAGGATGATCATAGAGGGCAGCAGGGAGCCGAAGATCAGGCACAGCACGCTGTACGCCCCCAAACGCGTGGCCCACTCGTGCTTGGCGAAGTTCTCAAAACAGCTGCGGCTTCCAGATTCGTCTCCATCGGTCTCCAGAGGGCCCATGAGGACGAACACCACCATAGCCACTCCAGCGACACACCAGAGCACCACGCTCACAGCCAGAGAGCACCAGCAGCTCTGCAGCCTCAGATAGCTGTGTGGGCGCACAGTGGCCATGTAGCGATCCACACAGATACAAGTCATGAAACAGATGTTCATGTAGATGTTGGCGAAGAACAGAATCCCTGTGATACGGCAGGCGATGTCTCCGAACACCCAGTTGTTTCCGTTGATGTGGTAGTGGATCCTGAAGGGTAGAGTGCAGAGGATGACGATATCTGTCAGAGCCAGATTGCTGATGTACACGCTGAAGGCTGTACGAGGTGTGATCTTGAAGGCGAAGATGAAGAGGGCAATCAGATTTCCAGGCAGACCTACAACTAAAGCCAGGCTGTAGACCGCTGGGAAAAAGTAGTACTGGTAATCTACAGATGGATTGCTGCAGTCGACATTTGTCACGTTCATCATGGCAGATTGAGGTTTCTTTTTTTAATTTTATTGTGAATGTAGTCAGATAAAAGCGTAGGTTGAGTCACACACACACTGCTGCATCACAGGCCGTCCCCTGTAACTGTAACAACACAAACATGTTTCCACTCAGTTTTTTCCACTTTCACTGTTTCACAACCTTGAAAACGAATCTCTTACTCATCTGGTAAATAATATTTACCAAAAGTCATTCTTGGATTCTGATTTCTAACATTAGTTCTGCTCTAGAAATTGATTCCATTAATCTGTTTTGTTTTTAAAAATAAGGGGAATAACCAGGGTGGAGATTTATTTTTTTTACATTTGATTCAATACATTTTCACTTTACTTACAGTACTCAGAGATTATCTAAAAAGAGTGAAGTGAAACAAGGCAGAGAAACACAGATCACAAATAAAGCCAGCAAAATATGCTTCATCCACTGGTGTTCTTGTGACATTGAATAATTATCTCATTGCTAGGTTTTTCCACACAAAGATTTGAGTCCTGTGTACTGAAAGTTATTCACTGTTTTTTTCACCACATTTTAAAAGGGTTAAACACTTTCGGAAATAATAGATTAATTTTATTTTATTAATAAATTACAAGAGTAATGTGACAAAAAAAATCACTTACTGAGTTGCTTAGGGGCTCGATCTCCAATGCAGAAAGCTACAATGTGTGTTGAAAACACATGAGAAAAAATTGATACATTCGCCGTGAAGCTCCTCTGAGACAGTGAGCATGAGGCTTCTTAATTTCCTGTTAGACTACTGTAGGTGTAGAGTTAAGAGCAGGAAACTAGAGCATGACACAAGACTATGCGCATAGTTTACCACCCACCATAATATAAGAATGACTTAAATTGTATTGTTTTATGTTGACAAGTGATTCTATTATTTTGTCCACCCCATTCAAATCAGAGAGGGCAGGCTAAATAACAGAAAAAACTCCCCAATGCAACACAGTTCAACAGCACTACAAAGTGCAGCCTCCACAATGATCATACAGTTGAATTATCACCTCCTCAACATAGTTTCAACAAAAACTGATATTAGGAAGCTTAATGAGGAAGGCTTCATTGCAGGACTGTTGAAAAAAATAATAATGATGCAGATCTTCAAGGAAATACAAATAAAACGCTCCCACATGTCTCCCTCAGTGTCATCAAAAGCAGATCTATCTAATTTAAATTAAACAATATAAATAAAAATACCACAATTTCCATTTTATTAATGGCATTTTAGCATGGTTTAGACACAAATAAATAAATAGACAAATAAATATTGTAATCTTGGCGGAGGTTGTCGTTTTGACGCATTTATTCTGAAGGAATTAGACCGGAAGTTTTTTCATGTAGCGCGGAACACGGAGTGGACTGAAGAGTGATAGCAATTTCTTGTTTTAGCTAACATGCGAATTGTAAATTCTGTAATGTAATATATGCTGAAACACTAGCTAGCTAGAAGCCAGAGAGCAATTGTTAGCATTGTATGACTGTACTGACTCATTTTCAAGGGCGTACTCAGAATAGGCTTCATCATATTGTTAGCTACCGGTTACCTAGATACCTAGCTGTTGTTGTTAAAACTCATAGGAAACCTAAACTTTATGTTAGATATAGCTTATTAAAAGCGTTTTTATGTCACCGTTAATGGTGTCAAAACGAAAACTTATATTTTGTACATTTTGTCATCATTGTTGAAAATGTTATGGTAAAGGTGTTTTAAAAAACACAATACAATATGGATAAGTCCACAGCGTTAAACACAGCAGACAAATGTTACATCTGCCTGAGTCACTTTGAACAGCAAACTGTGGCCTCTCTGCAGAACTGCCAGCATGTCTTTTGCCTTGAATGTATTCTCCAGTGGTCCCAGGTAAACACACACCTCACCTGTCACACAGGAAAATTGTGTTTATAATGTTTTCACTAGATTGATATTTTCTTCACTATGAAGAAATGATACAGTAACCTTCAGATGCAACTACTGATTGTTTCCCCTCATCATTTCATCTGTTGAATGCTTTTTCAAATGATTGGATGAGTCGTTCAATTTTAAAATGTCAGGGAACAGTGAAAAATGTTCAACTGAATTTCAAGCAGTTCCTATGGGACTGCTTACATGATTTACCATTTATCAGAATATTTGGGCATTAATGGATTAGATTAATCATGTCAGTTGTACAGCAGATCAGTCAGTAGTGAAGATAATCATTAGTTTTATTTATTTGATTTATTTGTAAGGGACAAGCACAGAAAAACATTGACAGAAGTGTCTGGTGTACATGTAAAAAACAAATAAAATGGAACAAATCACCTAAAAATTTGCAGCCTTTGTCTAAAATAAGATGCATGACCATCAAGGGAAAATATTTAGTTGTAACTGAAACATTTTGCTGCTCTGTCCTAAACCTCAGACAGCCAACACTTGCCCGGTGGATCGAATCAGTTTTGCCTTCATCCACCAGAGACAGTGTCCTGGAGGGGCCATTCAAAAGAAGGTGATTATTTGCGGCATGTGAAGGAACCTTTTCTGAGAAGTGTTTGGAAATATGAGAACTATGCTGGTAGCTAAACTGTTTGCGCTGCTGCAGATCAAAGTGAGGACACAGAAAAAAGATGCTAATGATGAAGAGGAGGCGAGCGATGCGGTTATCTGTGAGGAATGTGGACGGAGTGACCGCAGGCACCGGCTGCTCGTGTGCATACACTGTGATTCAGGGTATGGCATTACAGTACCAATGCACTCATCATGTAGTGTAGATTGTCTCAGCAGATTTTCTATTGTCATGATTCAACCCTCAGATGCTTATACTCTGGTCTTTGATGATCAGTTTATTTAAGTCATAGCAGAAGCGTAAGTCATACTTTAACGACTTGTACACTTTTCCACTCATGTTTTGTAACAGACGGAAAAACCTGGACTTGATGCCATGTTATCTACACTTGTTCGTGTTAAATTTAATCACAGAACATGTATGTATGTTTACAGGTATCATATGGACTGCTTGACACCATCATTAAACACAGGTCCTGAAGGTGACTGGATTTGTCCTGAGTGTGCAGCCAGTCCTCACCATACAGGTAAAGCTGTGTCTTTATACATATTTTGTTGATTATTGAAGTGAAAAAAGTAAATATAAAATCATGCATATTTCACATTACTGCCAATCACTTGTGTGGCCAAAGTAGTTGAACAACAGTGTTATGTGATGGGATGGGTGGACTATCAGGAATGGTACAATCAGAAAAAAAGAGCACAGGAATAGATTATGATTGATTATTACAAGATATTTTAATTTTATTTTTGTGAAATTGTCCCTGTACAGAGGAGTCAGTGGTGGAGGAGGAGATCAGCGATGGAGAATTAACCGACCTCTTAGCCGAAGTTGATGAAACTGCATCTACCAGCAGTCGCCTTCGGCCCTCGACCATCAATCGTCCCAGGCGCTCCACTGAACGACGACGCAGCACAAGGGTCCAGAGCAGAACCAGCAGCAATCCTAATCCTCGCCCGCAAACCTCTTTGGTCAGTTTAATATTTCGCAGAGTTTCATGTTTGTTTACTAGACAGCATGAGGTAAAAATGCAGAAGTCCCCATTCTCATTAAGTGATAATCTGTTGTTAGTGTGTACATTTTAAGTGACCAGCTCATTTTGGCTTTATAGTATGTGTACATACACATTATTGGAGTCGGTAGTACAGCAAAGTAAACCTTTAAGTGAGGGCTCAACAATATGACCAAAACATCACAATATTTTAACATTATTGCCATTATGATGGTATCTGACAATATTGCATCCTCTTACCCCGGTTCGTTCCTGTCATGTAGTATCATTACATTCGAGTCACAGAGCTAAAAATTTTTTTTTTTCCAAAAAATATATATATCAGGGGATCTTTGAAGAAACCCAGAAAGTTTATTAAATTTAACAACACTGACCACTGTTCTGAAGATATTTCCAGTGTCCTCAAAGATGCATTTAATCATCTGGATGAAAAAATATTCCCTTTGCTGCAAAAGTTGTGCCTTTGTTTCCTACCCAGGTAGCCAGGCATTATAAACAAAAGTGTTTATTTATATATATGTCACACATAAACTGTAAAGATGATTTTAAATGAAAATATGAAATAATAGTTGTTAACATCCCTCCTTACCTTAAATGTGTGTCCAGTGAAGACAGAGGATCCAGCACATTTGTCCAGGGCAGAACACATCATAAAAAATAGGCACATAAGCCTTAGTAAGTCTGTCCCAGAATATTTTTTCATCCAGATGGTTATAGGAGTCTTTGAGTATTCTGGAAATACCTTCAGAACAGCAGTAAGAACTATTAACTACTACTTTCTGGGCTTTTCAAAGATCAAGGTATTTATTTTCCAGGAAAACAGATGCTTTGCTCTGCGACATGAAAGTAATATTTGTATGCTCTGATATAAATAAAACAAAAATATTAACATTACTCATTTAAGTAGCCTGGAGTCTGCCACTAACTTGTTCTAGTAAGTACAGCAAAGGAAAATTCTTCAAGCAATCATCGGGGAGAGAGAGGGTCTCGTCTGAGGTTTCAGTCCATTTTACAGTGTGTGCAAGACAAACCTATCACAGTGCTGTGGCACTTAACCACGCTTCCTGCTCTGCAGAACGCCTTTTCAGAAACATGCACAGTTAGTTGTGGTGCAGAAAAAAACTCTCCATGAGTCAGTCAACCCTCTGCAGATAAGTTTGCAGCATCTTTGGTTGCATGTAAGTGAGGCAGGGTAACTGCTGGTGTTTGTGGTTACATTCTGTGCCCCATCATCTGTGTGGGTAACTGCTGCTGCCACTGCTTGTGTAAATGTTAGGTTATTGTGATTTCTGTTATACTGTACCTGGCCTAGAATCAGGGGTGAAGGGGTCACAAAGCACTAGGTTTGTTGTTGTGATTGCTCTTGAGAGGCTTATATCACTGTGTTCAGAGCTATAAGTACTCTTTGTAAGCTGGTAAATTTGGTTTGTGAGCTTGAGTGCCTGCTTGAGGTGCCTAATACTCTTCACCCGACTGGGTATCAGTGAGCCTGGGTATTTTGTAGATGTGGCTTTTTTTTACCCACTCAGGAACATCTCTGTGTAGCAGGTGTGTGTTTTTCCTCTCCACCAAAGACTTGAACTGTTGTTTTCCATTTCTGCAGCGGAGCCTGCACATGTTGATGTTTCATTGATGGGCTCGCAGTCAGTCAGATTATATTCCACTTTATTCTTTTTCCATGCAAACTAAAAGTTACTGTGTTTTTTTTTCCAGATGACAATTGCACGGTCAAACCAGGGGTTTTGAACACTTCTTTTTGCAAAATGTGAAATAAAAAAATGAGGGATGCGTCGACATGCTGGATCAGTAGCAGGGCTGATAGTGGCCTTCTTAAGCAGCTCAAGTATTTGTCAGTTACAGAGCTGATCTACACAAAATACAGATTCTTCATCTATCTCACTATAAAAGTCAGTGTTTCTGCTATCAGTTGCAGTACCACATTAATCTCTGGCCTCCTAATTAAACAATAAGAGATCTGAGCTCAGTAAAAGTGCTGATACTATACAGAATCCAGTTGTATAATAAAAGAAAAACTGCTACAATAAGAACTGGGATAAGGCAGTTTACAGTTCATTAAAATAATGACTAGCATTTATATCACACATCACAAATGAAATGTATCTCTCACAGCTTCTGTATCTCTGAAACAAGGGGAGGATGTCGATTTCCTTGATGTTTCAAAGATGTTTTCAAAGATGTTTCAGAATTTTTTTTAGATGGATTTAGTTTTTGTTCTGTCTCATGACATGATGTTTGTGTCATTCTATACACGTAATTTCCATTATGATGTCAATTTGTCTGTGAGCTTTAACTATGTACTGTATACAAAGACGAAATTAATTGATGACGGTACAAAAATGCTTCAACTTCAACAACGCTAGTGTTTAGTGCTATGATTTATCATGACTGTGTTTTCTTCTTGTTCTTCAGCATGTACCTAAATACCTCTTGAAAGCGTCACGGCCTCCAGTCACAACAGCTGAAGCAACTGCGCTTCATCACAGTGATACCAGCAGCGCTCCAGCCGGTAAATTATCTGACTGTCACTTCACTTCACAGTAGCTTCAAAAGTCTGTACATTCTTTCATATTCAACATGATCTGTTTTGCGTGTTTCACAGAGTTAGATACACCGAAAAGAAAAAGGGTTTGACTTGAGCTACTGACGCCAACAAGCAGAGAGGATGCTGCAAGACGGTCATCACTGCTGGTACATCTTAGTCGCGCTTGTCAGAAATGACCACAGGGTGGCAGCATTGTGTTAGTAGTTACGAACAACCATAAACCTCATGTGAAGGAACCTGAACTTTTTTGTTTCTTTTTTATTGTTTTCTGTCCTGTGTAAAAAAAAAAAAAAAACTGAGGGTGAATGTTTTCATTTTTACTTTATGTAAAAGATAAGGCTGACATTATGTAACACTTTGTTTATTGTCAACAAAAACTTTTAAAATACCAAAAAGCAATGTGTGAGTCTGTGTGTCAATACTTGTTAATGTCCCCGACGTGTTGGGCCGAGTTTAATTAATAATAAATGATTAGAAATAATCCTTAGGGGGACGTGAGTCACTGTACCAAATTTCATAGCAATCCATCTAACAGTAGAACCACACATGCCAACCTCATGGGGTAATTAAAGGCATGTCTGTACAAAATCTTGTCACAAACCATCCAGTAGATGTGGAGAATATTTGACAGGAAGCTTTGACCTGCGTGGTGTCGCTGGAAGGAGAGTGATTAGGATTCATCCTCTGGGCACCATGATAGTACAACAATTCATGGCAAATAGTTGTTGAGATATTTTAGTCTGGACCAAAGAAAGTGAACGATTATGTATTTTATGCCTTAATCTAACATACTGGGTGTGGGTAGACATTAAAGGTAGGTGGACTCTGGCCAAGGTAAGTATGCGAGGCAACTGAGGTGTCAGACAAATCAAAGACTCAGACTTCAAACAGGAAGCAGCTCCTCTGATCATCTGCAGGATCCCCTCATCCCGCCTCTCTCAGGAGCGCTGGGCCATCGCCTAGCAACACCAGCCTCAGTGATTTTCTCAGGATGTCGTGCAAGCTGAAACACAAGAGGAGGCTGTCTCAGTCACACACACACACTCAGATCTGCTGTTTATCATAATCTAATGTTGAATCCATCCTCTGATGTCCAAAAGCATTGTACTCTATGTTGAGACAAAAAACGACTTAATTTGAACTCATGAAATCATTCCACCAAGATATTGCTGAATTGATGTAACTGAGACCATGACGTGTGCTCAGACATCAGCATACTCCTGCACAGTGATTCCTCACGTTATAGTAAAGTTATTACAGCTCATATGTATAAAGTCTCTGTTAATTTGTGTGTGTGTGTGTGTCTGTGTGCGTGTGCGCGGTTATCCTAGTGTGTGTGTTATGATTCAGTGGGTGGGGACGTAACAAGCCTGCAGCTCATCTTGCCCTACTTTTCCCACCAAAACAACGTGCACAGAAAAACAAATGTTCACCTTCATTGGCCAGACATGTTTGCTAAGCAGAAGTGTTGAATTGAACAAAATGTCCTGGTTGAGACACTGTGAGGAGTGTAAACCCAAGTGTACACAACAGAGCACTCTGTTTCTTGTTTGTTGGTTTATTCTTACTTAGGCAATCACCTTAGGAACAGAAAGCAGTTACTTGCATAATTCATAACCCCACTTTCTACTTTCTACACTTTGTTTTCTTTATTAGCAGTTTTCCATTTAAAAGCCATTTTCAGTATTGAATAAACCTAATGGGTGATTGGCTACCTACCATTATATTAAATGTGTTCAAGGTTGTTATTTTTCAAGCCATTGCAACGTCAGTCTACCCCCCCCCCCCTTTGGTCTAGACTGAAATAGCTCACTAATAGAGCAGAGATTCACGGTGCTCAGAGGATGAATCCAAATAACTTCCTTTGACTTTTTCTCTTGAACCTCTTGCGTTGACATTTTGTGGTTTTGAGTGAAAAATCTCAACATATTGGATGGTTTACCATGAAATTTGGTACAAACATTCATGACTCATTCGTGGATGAGCTACTATCACTTTGGTGATCTCTTGACTTTTCATCTAGCGTCATCATCAGGTCCAAATTTCAGTTTGCCAAATAAAAAAACTAACTGTTGACATTCCCATCATCCTCAGCTGTACATTGTGTTCAGTGCTAATTTATCATATGTTAGCATGCTAACACGCTATACTAAAATATGATGAACATGATAAACATCTGCAAAACATCAGCATGTTAGCATTGTCATTCTGAGCATATGAGCATGCTGACATTAGCATCTAGGTCAAAAGCAAAAAAGTTGATTTTCCCAAAACGTCAAACTGTCTTAAAGGGATTTTTTTGTTGTTGTTGCTAAACAGGCTAGATTTGGATGAACAGGCTACATTCTTTTGTTGATTGAGCATTTGTCAAATTGTTTTTCTAAAGAATGAGCTACTTCGCTGCTGTAATGATATATTCACTGTCAGCAGTCAGTGACTGCGACCCTGCATGACCCAGGTCCCTGTTGTCCTTATATCTTGTGGTGAGGATTTAGATTGCTTTTGGTTATCTGAATATTTGATACTAGTCTTGCTGACACAGTGAAAGAGGCTTCCTGAAAACTACTTTCCTTTGTTTCTGTTCCAGCTGTTCCAGCTCTGACCCCGTACTCACCCTCTCCAGTCTTCATGGGATCCTGTCACTGTCTTCCTCACAGGAATCACTGACAGGAACAGCAGCCTTTTGAAGAGCCCTCCAGTGGATAAGGAGCTGGGCCTGCAGAGCTGAAGGGCTTTGGTGCCTGTAAAGCCTGTGACTCCTTAAGCAATTAGGCTTACCGTAACACGATTAACACACAATGGAGCCAAGGTCAAAACTTCTAATGACTGGCTGCTCCGGAGAAGGTCTGTTTATCAGTGCAGTATGTTCTTAAAGACTGACATGCTAAATGACAATGAGGTGACAGTGATGTGACTCTAGGGTATCTTCCATTCATGAATACAATCTGTTGTATAAAAATTCCCATATCTCATTTATTTAATCTGTACAAACATTAGAATGTCCAGCACATAACTCCTCCTAAATCAACTATTTACCCTGTTTTTTACCGTTGTAAGAACTGTGTCTCTAGAGATGGCATTGTCAGTCTCTCTGTCCTGATGATACTGTATCTTTTCCTTTAGTGCTGCCATGAGTTTGACATCTGTTGGATGGATTAATGTAATTAGGTGCACATATTTGGTCATTTTGAACTTTTTGTTTTATTACTTTTTGTTTTTGTTGTTGTTGCTGTTAGACTCATCTTGTTCACCTTTTCGACAGAGCCAAGCTAACCCTTTCCACCTGCTTGCAGTCTTTATGCTAAGCTAAGCTACCTATCTCCTGGCTCCAGTTTCATATTGTACAGCAAGGGAAAGTGGCATCAGTCTTCTGCTGATTGTCAAATTAAAATTGTAAAAATCCCCTGAAGTTATTTTTGCTGCAGCAGCAGTGATGCAGTGGAGCTGATGCTGGGAGGCCTCCCGACACCCGGGAGCAATGCTAAGAGCTGCAGAGGCAGAGAAGCACTCTCACTGAGACATCAGTGGCACGAGCTAATGTGCCTTGGCAGAGCTGCTAAATAAGTCAGCAGTGATGTTAGCATGATTGCAAACAGCTTCTGGTAATGTGTGTTTCAAACTCGGAGAGGTCATGGTGTCAGGGGTCTTTGGATGTGACCCAGTATGCTGAATGAGAATATAATTTATTAAAATAAGTATTATCATCAGAACATGCAATATAGTGATTCCCAGCCTCTTTGGCTTGTGACCCCATAAGATTAAGCAGTCTACTTGTGATCCCATCATCACTGGTTGCATTTATTTGAATATGTTTTCACCAGTAATTCACATGAAAAAAGCAAAAATTAGAGGAAGGTCTGAAAAAATTATTCTCATTTGGTGCAGCAGAAATATCTTTTCTGCTTTCCCCATCCGGTCAGTCATCTCTTGAGCCTTTAATTTTCTCTTGTGACCCTTTGTCAGGGTGTAGACCAGAGGTAGGAACCACTACTTAACTTATATATGGCACTTATTAGGTAATGGCAACTCGAATTTCCAAACAATTAGTGAAGAATTGATGTCAAACTGTGCACATTATAGAAGAAAACCCATTAAATCCTGTTGCACTTCACTTAGTACACATCACTACAGCGGTATGGGTGAACCTGGTGTGAACATTTGATAGAAAAAAACAAAATGAAAACTTGATATTACGAAGTGACAGAGCCCTGCAGACATCTCTATTCAACATAAACGAGAGAGATTGGAATTGAATTCTTAAAGAAATTGTTTGAGATCTCGAGAAATACTCTCCTTTGTTTTCTTGCCTTGAGCTAAATGAGAAGATTGATGCCACTGTCTTGTTGGTATGGTAATATGAAGCAGCTGATGAACTTAGCTTGGCATAAACACTGAAAAGAGCTCTGGCTCTGCAAATTGTTGTTTTTACACTTAGTGTTTTTGTGTGGTTTAAATATTGAAATATACATGCTTCCCTAAATGTTGAACTATTCCTTAACTAATTTAATTTGAACCTTTCTCTTAAGCTGGATAGAGAAATCTCCAGACAATATCGCACATATACTACAATACCATGATCATGCCAGTATGTCTCTATACTTTCAGCCACCTTTTAAGAACACTTTGCGCACACATACATTACCACCAGTGTGAGCACAGCAGTCCTATTGGAAGATAAAAATGAATTTAGAATAGAGTTGGGAATAAATTTTTGACCAAGTCAGTGCTGAGAAGACGTATGCATAATAAACAACATTCATCCAGCATGTGTACATGCCTCGTTGGTAGTGGCTTGTAGAGCATTGCACCTGCGGTCAAAAGGGATAACATTACAAGCTGTGTGCTCAGCAGAGCGACTCGCAGCTCTCTCTGGCAGACCAAAGCGGGGGGCAAAAGTAGGTCATCCTCCCAGAGACCCACACATCTCTCCCAGTGATTCCATGCTGCAGTTGTGCTTGTGTCTGCCATGAGAGGGCCGCTGATGGGAGAAAAAATGGGAGTCGACAGCTCCCTTCCCTATTTGTGTTGCTACACTGAGGCAGGGAAGCGTCATCCCTGCTCCTGGTGGATGTCACAGTGTTGGAAACAAAGGCAGCAGGAAATGGATCCTGAACAATCCATTAGCCCTACTGATATGATAGCTAGCAGCCTCTTTTGTTAATCATCTCACAGTCAATTTCAGTCATCGTATGACACCTAATCTGACCCAAAACCTCACTGGCTATCCTCCCAAATCTTAAATTAATAATTTTGGGAAATACATTTATTTCCTTTCATGCCAGGAGTTACATTGATACCACTCTTCTCATATCTGTCTGTTAAAAATAATGCTACAGCCAGCAGCAGGTTAGCTTAGCTTAGCACAAAAGGTGTAAACAGGAGGAAAACAGCTGGTTGTAAGAACATTAGCAGTTGTTCTCTGTCTGTCTGTTCTTTGAACTAAATGCTAACATCAGTCCGCCATCATGTTCAAAAATGACAATGCTAACATGCTGATGTTTAGTGGGTGTAATATTTAAAAATGTTCACCATCTTAGTTTAGAGTTTTAGCATGCTAACATTTGCCAACTGGCATAAACCAAAGTATTGGGCAAATTAAAAATTTGACCTGATGCTGGTGCTGGAGGAAAAGTTAAAGGATCAGCAAAGTTAGTACCAGTCATGCTAAACAAGGACAATTATAATTTTCAAGATATTTCACATAAAAAATGTCAGTCTCGTGGCAGAGCAAGAGGAAAAGTATGCGAGTTCAGCAAAGACATTAGGATTCATCATCTGAGGACAATGAATGTCATGGCAATCCATTAAATAATTGTTGAAATATTTCAACTTATTAACCAACATTGCCATCTCTAGAGCCAGGCTGCTAGCATGTCTAAAGCTGATTTAAAACCAGATGAGACTGATTCACTTTCGGAGTCACTTTTAACACACTCAACACGCTATATCGGATTTATATAATCTCTGCAATTACTTACCTTCAGAGGTACGGGTTTGTTACTGTAGGACAGAGCCTGGTTTGCTGTTTCCCTGTTTCTAGTTGTTGTGCTATAGTATGCTAACTGGCCTTTGAGCATATTAAAAAAATGACTGTACTTCTGCTGACAGTCAAAGACAACCTTTAAAGTGGCAGACATTAAAAAACTGTGGTCAAGAAGGCAGGCTCAAGTAATTTGTCACTTAAATACCCAATCAAATGAAAGCAGACTTTACAAAACTGATAATACGCCAACAGATCAGAGATACAACGATCAAGTTTCTCCTGCAGTAGGCACTTTTAATTCAGCCGACTGCTGACTCAACAGCTTTGAAAAGAAGCACTCAGTGCTTTGATCTCAGATTAGTAAAAGGAGCTGGGAATGAGGCAAAGAGGGAGAGGGAAATGAAGGATGATGGGGGGAGTCAAAAGACTTGGAAATTGAAGTTTTATTCCACAAAGCAGAGGAGGATATTTATGCAAGAAGCAAACATGAGACCACTGTGTTGGTGGGGTACCTGCCTTAGTGCTACAGACTTCTTCCATATCTGGTGATGGTCCTGCATGGTTTTATAGGTTAAGGTGGAATTGATTTTTGACCACCAGCTGAATTAAAATAAGACTATATTCAATAATAATATTTATCTGATGTTCAGGGAAGGAAAACCAATGGAATACTAGAGGGACACTGAGAGAGCGCAGAACTATGCCAAGGCTAATGTCAAACAATGTGAACCAGACCTCATAGAAAAAAATTGAAATTCATAGTAAATGATGAAGCCATGCTAGCAGCCCTGTGAGGCTCTGCTTAGACATACCACGTGTAATGCAATGAAAGTGCACTATAGGGTCATCCAAAACTTTTCCAGATATTTTACTCAAAACGAAAAATGTCAAAGTCATGAAGATGAAAAGTAACGAGCTCAGCAAAGTCACCGGGGAAGTTAAAATGTTGCTGGTGGCAGTAGATGATAAATCAGGGCAGGACATGTTATTGTGATTCATCTTCTGGGTACCTTGAATGTCTCCCTGAAATATCATGGCAATTCATTCAATAGATATTGAAATACTGGACCAACCCACCAGCTGACATTGCCTTCCCATGAGCTAGTATCTTTCCTCCAAAGATTTCAGTGAATGACGGTGGCATTTAGTCAAGACACCTCTGCTGAGAGTCGATGAGATCATCTCCATTCATGGCCTGAGCTCCAGCCTTTTTAAAGCCCGGATAGGAAGGAACAATGACGCTCTATGAAAACCTGCAATGAAATCCCAAGCACGCGCTCTTTCTCCAAGCTTTCCTATTTCCTGTGAATTAATAATAGCCCTGCTGGGGAAATAGATGCACTCAAGATACCCTCATTTAACAACTGCATGGTAAAGCGGTATGATATAGCAACCCTACAATGTGTTAAACATGTAAAGCTTTCTTTTAAATGTTTGGGAATCAAGGAATTAGTTTCAGTGACTCAGGCTTTTACATTAAATAGATGTCGCAGCTTGCACAGCAGTAAAACACGATGATCTGACATGACAAACATACCATACTGTATCAAAGGTGTGAAAAGATGAGTGGTTTGAATGTGACTATAGGGAGCACCAAGAACCATTAGCAGTAACTGAAGCTATTGTGGGTGGTTGCTTATTCATAGCTTGAGTTAACACAGCAGAGAGTATAAAAATACCTTCATCACACATCTCTTAATTAATAAACCCCATGGTCATCGCTGGATTAACCCCCAAGGGGGCCCCTTTGTTGGACCACCACTATACCCCCCTCCTTACTCTATACTATTTGATACTAAGAAGAGTTTGAAATTGCAAAATTACATGTGTATTGAGCTGTGGAACTAAAATTAATATTTTGTCCAGACACACGGAGATGCTTCCAGATGCTTTGGATGTGGATGATTGTCCTCCAGGAGTCCCAGCCTCCTCCTTGTGTCTTTCTCTCCCTCAGAGTGTTTGTTTCCTTCTCTGAGATGTGTGAATGATGTGCTTGGTATTGCCTCTTGTATGTTTGTGTAGTCTTGTCCTCTTTCCAGGTCTTCATGATGGAGAGGAGGTTATGTGGCTCAGGTCCTATCTGTGGGCCGCACCTGGAAGTTATTGTTCTATGTCCTCCCAGATATATTCTCCATGAATGCTTACAATAATGTTGTCATCCTGACTGTCCACACTGTAAATCTACTGTATCACTCTATTCTGTGCACACAGCATCTATTGCATGTCTGTCCATCCTGGAAGAGGGATCCCCCCCTCTGTTCCTCTTACTGAGGTTTCTTCCACCTTTTCCTTTTATTATTTTTTTCTTTTTGTGGGGGCAGTTTGTCCTTGTCCGATTCAAGGGTCTAAGGATAGAGGGTTTCACAGTGCTGTACAGATTGTTAAGCCCCTTGAGGCAAATTTGTGATTTGTATCGGGCTGTATAAATAAAATTTGACTTGACCTTTTAGGATGAAAAGATACTCCCAAAATAATGATTTTTTTATATAGCTTAATTCATGCAATGAATGCAGCTCAAAGTGCCTTCCACAATAAACAAAAAAAAAGACAAAAGACAAAAAACAATCATTTAAAAGATATGAAAATTGAAAAAAAATATGAAAGGACACAAAATACTAGGTTTAGAAAACTACAATCATGGCGTTTAACAGCTTGAAAAGGGTTATGGTAATGGGAGTTTTGGTAATGGTAGTCATCGTAATAGCGGTTGCGCAAAAGCACAGTTTCCCAGTAAAGCAACTGAACAGTAGCCTATTTTAGATGATAAGTGTTACAGGCTGGAATCAGTGCGTCGAATGTGTTGAGATCAAAACTCCGACCGTAGGAGGAGCACCTGAATGCAACACGAGGTCCAGTACTGAGTGAAGCGGCACGAGATCCTCAGAGGAGGACTGGCTGAGTGAGGGAGCGAGCCGCTGCAGGAGCAGAAGACCGAGGGAGGATCGCAGTGTCGGATACTAACATCTCTACTTTAATCTGCACAGGAGATGAAATCCACATTTTAAGCGCGCGAAAAAACTTTACTCCAGCCCGACAAAATGACGGTGGATTTTGAAGATTGCATTAAAGATTCACCCCGGTTTAGGTAAGAACATGAAACTCAGTATCCCACTTTTTCCTCTCGTTGAACTGGTGAACGCCACAGTTCTCATGCAGGCTGGTGTTTGCTGGTTGATTCACTCATTACTGAATCCAGGCTGTGTGTGTGTGTGTGTGTGTGTGTGTGTGTGTGTGTGTGTGTGTGTGTGTGTGTGTGTGTGTGTGTGTGTGTGTGCGTGCGTGCGTGCGTGCGTGCGCGCGTGCGCGCGCGTGCGTGCGTGCGTGTGTGTGCGCGCGCGCGTATGTGTGTGTCCTCTCTGCATGTGGCACGTTGGACTAAATTGCGACACGTTGCACTGAAATCTCAGCGCGATTAATACCTCGATCCGATAAATGGTGGATTACAATTACATTTCGGAGCATCTGTCAGATGTGTACGCATTTTCACAGCCTCCAGGTCAGTAATGTCCTACAGTAGTCATGATGATGATAATGGTGATGATGGTGATGGTGAGCGATGCAGCCGTTTGAGTTGTCACATGGACTCACTCACTGACTGGGAGCAGACGAAATCAAAGTCATAGCTGTTCTGCGTTGATTTCCACCCCCATGCTGCCACACTTTGTTTGTTTGTTTGTTTGTTTATTAATCAATCAGCATCCATTTGAGAACCACGTGTGGTTCAGGACATCCCTGACTGTTGCCTACAGTGCTGGAAAGTAACTAAGTATATTCACTTAATTTACTGTAGCTTCCTTCAGTTCAGATTTTAGGTACTTGAACATCACCATTGTATACCTCTACTCCACTACATCCCTGCACTACAATTAAACAGGTTTAGATAATTTACTAATTAAGAAATCAACACAAGAAGAGCTGAAATGATTAGTCAGTTAATCCCTAGTAAATTGATTGCCAGAAAATGAATTGGCAGCTATTCTGATAATTCAACTTTCATGCAAAAAAAAGCCAAATATTTCATTGTTACTGCTTCTCAGAGGTGAGGACTTGCTGCTTTTCATTTTGATAATAATTCCAATGGTTGTACAGAAAAGTATTGTGAATGTGAACATGTCACTTTAGGCATTCCTCACTATTTTACAATCAAAATTCAATAACAGTCAGGAGTTTAATCCAATATGAAAATAATACTTGCAGCCCCCAAATGAAGTAGTTAAGAATGAGCTCCAGCTCATCTGACAAGAACAGTAAGATGCTGCATGAGTAATGATTTGATATTTAATACTATAACACTCACATCGGCCACTTTTCTGCTCTAAGTGCTTTTACTTTTCATACTTTTACATAAGTAACATTCTCCATGCTGAACATTTACTTGTACTGGAGTATATTTACAGTGTGGTAAGGATCTGAATACTTGTCCGCCACTGTTTCCCTATAATGTGATATCATAAAGTCCTAATGCAGAAGAAATAAAGGTAAAATTCCTCATAACATTTAGACTTCCACCATAAATGAGCTGCTGTCCAAAGGATGCAGGTTAAAGTAGGGCTGCAGCTAATGATTATTCTCAGTATCAATTAATCATGTGGTTTACAACATGTCAGAGAAAAAGTGGAAAAGTCCTCTCACATTTTCCTAAAGCCCAAGGTGATGTTTTCAGATGTCTTGTTTTGTCTGACTCTATTCAGTTCACTTTCACAGAAGACTGAGAAAAGCAGCACATCAGCTACATCTAGAAGCTAGAACCAGTGAATGTTTGGGATTTTTGCCTAAAAAAATAATGACTTATGTGATTGATCAATAATCAAAATAGTTGCTGATTAATACTCTGTCCGTTGTCTAATGCTGAATGGATCGATTGTTTCAGCTTCAGTTCAAACAGTGTCACTAATGATTGGATCAGAGGAAACTGAAGGTTTCCACTCAGTCTGTGCCAAAGCCTCTGACCGCCGTGCACCAAAGGTTACATAAATAAAGCAGGAATTTTCTACACCCACATCTAAACCTGGTCCTCTGCTCCCAAACAGTCAAGAGCCTCTCAGGCTGCGAGGGGAGTCTGAGCCAAGGTCCTTTCAGGGTCCTCGCACAAAAACAAGTGGATATGAAATTACTTTAAATGTTAATAGATTGTATTTCAGTCTTATTTCTTATATTTTTACACTGTATTCCTGTGTATTAGATGGTGAAATAATAATGATGATCATTTTTCAGAAGCTCGAACTTCTCTTTAATAATATTTTGAGTGATTATCACTGAGGATTTGTACATTTTTATAGGCACATGTCATTTTTCTTTGTAGTTTGGTTTCCTGGCAGCTTTGTACTTTGTTAAATTGACAAAATGAGAGGTCAGACTTGTAGCTGAGTTTGCGCTGAAGGAAAGGTCACCGTGCATGTGCAAAAGGTGCTGAACACACACAAAGTATTATTATATGACATTGTTACCGTTGAAACTGATGCACCAGTGCGTTAGCAGCATTTGTAGCTGGTGGAGTTGGTAGTTTAGTGGTTCCCACTGTAGGTGCCGGGCCCCTTCAAAGGGTCACAAGATAAACCTGAGGGGTCATGAGAAGATTAAGGGCTTTGCTCAAGGGCACCACAGAGCTGTTGATGAGGGTTGGATAAATTCTGCTCTTTCTTTCTTTCTTTCTTTTTTTTTTGGGGGGGGGGGGGGGGGTTATTTTATTCTGATAGTAAAGGGGGAAATAGACAGGAAAGAGAGGGGATGACACGCAGCAAAGACCCAAACCCTTGGCCGCTGCTGCCAGGACCGAGCCCGTGTGGTACACGCTCCACCAGGTGAGCCGCCGAGGCGCTCCCAGTTCTGCTCTTTCACTTTTCCCACTTAGATCCTGCTCGTCCGACCTTTCGGTCACAAGTTTTTGCTCCTCTAACCTTCCACCGTTTTCTTTAATATTTGCTGTTTTTGTGAAATATCGGGCCTCTAATTCTAAGAAGAAATAAGTCTTTGGTGGATCTGCTAACAACTCATAGACACCTGAGACATGACAAATTGCTTCAGCTACAAACTGCTTTTTTGCAACGCATCAGCCCAAAAAAACAAAAAGGTCGTGAACCACTGGTTCATGTTTAACAGTGCACTCAACACAACATTTCTCAAGCTTTGGTAACTTCTGTTCACAGCTGTTAAGTAAATGTAGCGGATTACAAAGTAGCATAAAATGGAAATACTCAAGTAGAGTACCAAAGTGAATATACTTGGTTCCTCTCCGACACTGCACTTGTGTGCTCCCGGAGATAAAATCTCTGCTCCCAAATCAAAGACGTCCAGACTTGGCAGCAGCACCTTAATGACTGCCATCTGGAGCCGGAGAAAAAGGCACATCTCAGGAAGCGCTGAGTGAAGGGTATTTGCACTAACCACCTCTTTTCCTCGTTTCATATGCTAAGCAGCGCAGCGAAACAAGCTGCATGCTAAAGAGTCACCTACCTCATTATTTACAGCTCTGAGATGCCTCATTGTTTCATGTTTTTTCTCACATGGGTGAATGAGAATATCTCCTCTATCTGGCTGGAGCTGTGAATGTGCAGCCCCATGTACCGTGCTGGAGAAAGATGTTCCTGTTTGCTCAAGTTATTGTGAGCCTTTTTTTTTTTTTTTCCAGTTTATGTTATGAGTCTTTTATCTGCTGCCCCGCAATGTTTAAATGACTATAAGACGCAGTGAAAGAGACGTGTTCTTGTTGCCACTGAAGCCTGTAACAGTGTTTTCAGAGAACATTCAAGCGGCTCCTTTGTGGAGCTAAAAGCAGAACTACAGTATGAGGCGTTATGTAACAACCCTGGAGGTGGATGACTGGAAGGAAGCAGCAGGCCCAGAATACAGGAAAATCGAGGCTTTTCACTATGAGCGTTGGCATGACACACCGCTTCCCACACATGTAAAATCATGCAGGAAATCAGTTCTGCGCAATTACCTCTGACATATCCCAGAATCCTCTGTTTATTAGCTCGAGCTTTGGCCTTTTAATGATCGATCACTCAGTTCGCTGTCAAAGACGGGGAGCAAAACGGCAGACGGTGAAGTTCTTCTCTCCCTCCCAAAGCTGCTGTTTAAGCACTTCCCAACGACATGACAAATAACCAGATCCCTCCAGCAAACTGTTTGTTTAGTCTCTATGGATACTCTGACTCGGACAGATGTCAAGATTGCAACCAGTGATGCTCTCCACATCTGTTCTGAGAAAGTGGTCTGTAAGGGATACAAGGCCACAGGAACTTTCGTGTTTGTGTTTGCTCCGGCACAACACTGGCAACACGCAACGTTTGAGCTGTTTTCTCCCCACTGACGCGTTAATTTGAGGTCACACTCACATACTGTTGGAAGATAATAGATGAAGGGTCTTGGCAACCAGTGACATCTATGCTAGTTCATACAAAATGTATCATGGCTGCAACAAATGATCATTTTCATTAGTGATTAATGTACCTATCATTTCAGCGATCAAGTGGTTGGGGAATAAAATGCCGCTCGTCATTCTCCTGAGTCCATGACAACCTTTTATTACGTCTTGTTTAGCCTGACCAACAGTTTAAAACCCCAACATATTCAGTTTACCATGATAGAAAAGTAAGAAAATGAAAACAAAATCATTTGAGAAGGGAGCCGCAGTCATTAGTCGATCATCAGAAAAGTTATCGACGACTGTTTTCAAAATCAAATAATCATTTTAGCCGTTTTCTTAAGCAAAACTCCCAAAATCCACTTGTTCTGGCTGAAGTTTTTCTGTGTTGTACATAAAAGTACATGTAATATTTTTGGATTTTGGACTGGACGGACATTTGAAGATGTCTCAGCCATTATAAAAGACATTTTCCACGACTTTCTCTTGATATTTTTCACTTTTTTGGGACAAAGTGATGAATCAGTTAATCAGGAAAATAACCTGCAGATTAATGGATAATGGAAATAACAATTTAGTTGCAGCCCTTTTTTGAAAATCAGTCAACCCTGTCTCCTAATAATTACATTTATATACAACTAATCGGCAACAGCAAACATCTTTTGAAGGCAACATAACTGCGACTTGATTATGTTTTGGGTTTCTGTATTTGTTTTCTG